CCCCAAAACCCCAAAACCCCAAAACCCCAAAGAGCTGAATTTGAAACAGATTAATAATTTGAGATTTTCAAAATATACTTGAAAAATAAACAAAATGTCAAATTAAGATGAAGATGAAGACTTCGTTCAGAATGTCAGCGGGGAAGAGTTTGATGAATTTGAGCGAAAACTGGAGCAATCCTACTAAAAACGAGCTGAAATGACTGGCAACTCAAGGCCAGAATCCAGTAACCGTATGCTCTCAGGCAAAGCCAGGCCATCTGACTTGAAGCCATTGAAGAATGCTGATTTCGCAGCAGGTCCAAGCACAAATGCCATTATCGAAGAAGAGGATAAACATGATGGAGAAAATTCAAACAGTCAACAAAGATACTAGGACAACTTACAGAGCATAGGAGCTTAGAATGAAGATAGTATATACAATAGATTTTCAAGGCATGTGATTGAAAAGAAGATAGAGAGAGATGACTTCTGCAGACCAATCCATATATTCATAACTTAAGAAGAGATGGAGGAGTGTTTCTAGACTATCGGCTTTAGAGTCACCAAGGATGAGATATTTCTGATATTTAAAGACCATAACGCTCATAAGACTGGCTACTTACCTATGGAAGACTTCTATAAAAAGCTTAGATGCTGGAGGGATTATAAAGATAGAAGGGAGGAATAGATGATTGCTCTTAGAGATCAGGCTAATAACTTAGTCGACAAAACTAGAGGAGAAGATGCAGTAAATGGTGGAGTTGGGAACATAAGAGGGAATAGCGTGGGAGCAAAAAAGAGACCTACAACTGCAGTAGTAGCTGGAGCTAAGAACTTAAGAGCATTGTAGACCTAAGGCTCAAAACAAAGACTTGACTCTGCTAATAAGTTCTCCACTTCTAATCTCAAGAGTAACATAACTAACAATTAACTTGGAAACACCTAAGATATTGGCAAAATGAACTATGAAGATAAGACGAAGTATTATCTAAAGCTTGCAAAGCAGAAAAAAGAAGAGGAGGAAAGAGCTTTAGCCTTGACAATTGACAAAGGAAAAAGAGAGACGGAATTCGATTGCCTACACAAAATGGGTGAGGCTTGTGAAATAGCAAAAATGCTTAATGTGCCTGTCAGTTTTAGTGCTTTTAAGGGCCCAGATGGATCTCTCAAGATACACTTCTTTTAGTTCATTGAAGATCATACCAGGTAAATAAGCGGAGAAGACGATGAAGACCACAAAGAAGTAGCTATGCGTGAAATCAAAAGAGAGATCACAATGAAGGAGTTCTATAGAGAGTATCGAAAGCTAAAGCGTATGCAGACATCTGTCAAGAATAACTATACCTAGGCTCACTAAGGTGGTGGTCAGCCTGGCAAGCCCCCAAATATTTCACAGAATACTATTGTCTCATCCTACAGTCTTAATAGGATAAACAAGAAGGAGAGACAAGAAGAGTTGAAGCAGGTACTTCAGGAAACTATGAAGTTAACTAAAAAGCTCAAGGAGCAGCTCAAGATCTTAGAAAGAAACGGAGTCTGTGGTACATAGCCTAATAAAGGAACAAACAATATGATGGGTAAAAGCTAGTCACCTTCAATAATATGATAAATTGTCTCTAAATTGATAGGATTAAGTTGTAATTAAATCAAGTTAACAATTATCAAAATATCCAATATACATCCATATAATAGAATATGGATGAATTAAGATTATAGAATTAACATCATATCTCTCATTTTCATTGTCTGATTCTTCTTGCTTGATGGCTACTGCCTGTGTTTCTGGCCTAAGGCTTATTACTGCTATAGGCTGAGATGCTGGCAGCTTTAGAGAACTGAGGACTTGCAAAGTTAAGAATGTTAGCGTTTTGGCCTAAAACCTTTCTCTCCTATGAGTTGCTATTATAGGGCGCTCCACTGCTCATGCTTTCTCCAAAGTTACTTTGAAGATTGCTGAATCTTGTAACATTATCTCTCATTTCTTAAGTTGACATCATATTTGGGTCTATATTTTGGGACTGAATCATGACTCCTCCATTGCATTCCAAAAGATATTTTTTCAAAAGCACTCTTTCCTTCGTATAAAATTTCCATGCTGAATAAATGGCATACATCTTTGACCTCTTTTGTCTGTTCCTATTAACTCTAACTTCTCTTTTCCAGGCTCTAAGATGTGATATCATTAAATTAAGAGCGTAAAATTTCAAAGCCATTAGTTCTCTCTCCTAGAACTGCTCATTTTTATTGACCTTCCTAGCAGCATGGTCTCTAAGAGCATAAATAGTAGTATGAGCTAATTTAAGGTAATGCTTCTTGTCGAAATACTTTTGAGCTTTAGTAACCATATCCTTGATTTGTAACTTCTATTGAATGATAGCATTGAAGTAATCAAAAGCCATTCTTTTAAGCTTCATATTTCTAAAGCTAGAGTACTCACAGACTGCTTCTTTGCCAAACTTTCTGTGCTCAAACTTGACTCTCCATTGAGTAAAAGCTATCTTGAATAGCTAAATGCATTTTTTCTTCAGATTATACATCATTATAGTGTTTAAGTGAGACTTCTTTCTTGTTAAATCCAAATTATTACTAAAGGCATTAAGTGACTGGGTCAAAAGCTTGCAATTGTAATAGGTATCCGCATTTCTGTACTTTCTCTATTTAAAAGTATTCAAGATAAACCCATTAATCACTCTTCTCTTTGTTTTGATGTTCCAAACTTGATAACCTCTTCTCTCATGCTCTCTATCTTCATTTGCTAAGTAAAATGTCTGCATCATGTGATAGAAATACTTTACATAGGACTTATATTTGAAATACTAAACTGATTTGAACTTGTCTTGATTAATCTTTCTAAGATTATAACAGCCCTCTCTCATTTTAAGGAAATATTTCTTCATGAGAGCATCAGAGTTTAATCTAACTCCATAAGATGAGAAAGTTCTGATCAAGTTGTTTTAGGTCTTTAGGGAAGTTTATGAGACATAGTCATGAATCTAACTCTGATAAACCTTCTCCTCGAGGTTATTCTAAGCATTCAGACCAAGAGCAATCAAACATTATTTCATTGTATTGCGAGCCCTTTTAATCTCAATTACTTTTTGAAGTTACAAAGCTGCAAACTACTTCCTCCATTCAGTAAAATTTTATCTCAATACTTCGGTAACTCTTCTCTCTTCAATTTGTTCTAAATTCTCAGATAGGTATTAGTTTCTATGGCCTTGAACACTAATGAGATAAAGAGCTTTAATCTTCAAAAGTCTATTAACAGCACTAGTTAGTCTCTATTCCATAATTCTAGCTGGCATATTAGGGAGAGATGCTTGATACCATTTTCTTAGGACACTTCTGGCTTGTAAACTAGCTGATAAATTTTAAACCTATTCAACCAGTTCTTCTCTATTGCTCTAAAGTGAAGCATATTTTCTCCAGTTCTAGATGCATCTCTAAGCAACATATCTCTAGTGAGGGAAGGTATAATGCACCTAAAGAAGATCTACAAACTTACCCTAGTAAGCTTACTTCTACCATCTCTTGAATAAATGTAACTTACTGTTCGAGTCTTTTTTCCCTATTATTTTACTGAGCATGCTTCTTTTGGTGGATTGGTACTTGAATAGATTAAACCAATTACAGAAAGTTTTGCTTATAGATTACTTGTATTTGAGATTTTGATAATCTCTTTGGGTCTTCTCTAATATTATCGTATACTTCCATCCATTATATGATTTTATAGCAAGGAAGCGATTTTTTTTCTGTTACAATACTCTTTGATTTTTCATAATGAGTGTTTGATATCTAAGTCCCATAAATGACTTGCTGAGTTATGTTTCCATGTATTTTCTAACTAGATCATCTTCAACAATTCTAAGCCTTTTCTGTTTCAATGTATAGTTCTTCAAAGAATTTAGAGCTATCTACAAGTATAGATAAGCCTTATTTGTCAACTTAATTCTTTGAAACTGCTTTAATGAGCTTTTCCTCTATAAAATGGAAAGGATTGCTGATCTCATCTTATTTGCTTGATTTCTTTGCATAACTTTGACCTTAGCCTCATTATTAAGAGCTCTCATCCAAATGATCATAAGTTTCTGGAGGCTAATTTTTTTATGCCTTTTATAAACTTGCTTCCCAATGGACTTTATTCCTTTTTTATAATCTTTTAATGCTCTCCAATTGAAGAAGATTCTTCTTGCTTGACTGAGAACAATTTATCCTCTAAACTGCAGCCTTTTATCCTATTCAATATCCTTACTAAATCTTAGAGAGTCAAAAGCCAGTCGAATAGAGTGAGTTTAATCCATTTTGATGATTGTATTACTCATCAGCATTCTTTTCTTAGCCTTGATTTGCTAAGAGAAAGAAAAGATCTTAATAGCCTGGTAGCTTTCTCTTATTAGCTTCTCACATCTAAATATTACTGCTCTATTACATAAATTCTTTCTTTCTCTATGCACTATCACATTCCAAATCAATGATTTTAATGCTATCTGTTTCAATCTTTATCCCATAAATGTCAAGGCAAATTAGTCTTTTATCTTTTGCTCTTTTTACTAGTATGTGTAATGTCTAAGCTTTTCAAGGAACCTAGGAGCATTTATAGTTCTTAGATTATAGTGAAGTTGATTTGTCAACTGTCTGAATAACTCATTTTTTTAGGTCTAATATGCTAAAGATATCAATGATTTTCTCTGGAGTTTGTCAATGTAAAAGCTCTAGGCTTTGTGCTAGCTGTATCTTCTATGCTGAACAAGTTTAACGCAGTATCTCAGCATAGTTAATAGTTTAAGCTAAGTTTTCTTAGCCCAGTAGTCATTGATGGTCCTAACTCTATCTCTTTGAATAATTCTTCTTTATTTAAACTGTTTAAGTTGCCTTAAAGTTGCTTATTTCTAAATCATAGTCTTGATATGATGCTGTCTCTCACCTATTGACTCAATAATCTAGGACTGCTAAGTGAAGTTAATCCATTCACCTAAATTTTGTCTCAATAATCCAATTTAAGAAATCTAACCTAATCTTTTTAAAACTCTTATCTTTATTAATTAAGGCTCGAATATGTCAATCCATTTATCGAAGAATTAATTTCTAACTCTTGATTAAACCTTCTTCCTGATATACTAGATTTTTTAGATTTATTAATAGTTTTATGTTATGTATTGTTTAAATCCGTTCAATACTCTTTATTTCATACCTTCTCTTACAAATGATTTAACTTATGAGGTCTTTGATTGAGAATTTTTCTTGAATTCTACGTACTATTTGAATTGCCTAAAGTATTGCTATAGCATAAGAGACCCAATAGATCCTATAGCTACTCTTAGAATTTGACTGTGTTAAGCTCTTTGAGAGATATTTTCTCTCCATTTATGAATAATGAAGTATGCAAGTCTACTCTATCTATTAATCACAAAATTTCTAACTGTATTTTATTCACTAAGTTCATTTATCCATATTCCTAGGGTTTTTCTAAGAGCCTTCTTTCTTTGATACTTTTATAGATATTTATGCTATTTCTTGCAATTCACTCTGCTCTATACCACTTTCCTAAGGGCTTAGAAAGACTTAACTTTGATATCAGCTTTCTTAATAGCAACTTATTATCTTTCAATCTTATTTCTTATCATCATGTCTTTAAGTACTTTGAAATATTTTTTGATTATTTGGTTCTTTACTTGGACAATTAGAAACTGGGTTGTTTTATACCCCTTTACATTCGCCTAAAATTACTCTCTCCACATTCTCAGATATTACTTCTTCTAAAATACTAAACTTTTCTCATGAGTTGAAACTATTCCTTCAACCCATCTGTATTTATTCTCAACATTCTTCTTTAAACCCCTAAGGAAAGTTAATTCGAGCAACTTAAACATATTGAAGATATTCATATGAGTAACAACTCCTTCCTCATATTTAGCTTTTCTCTGAACTCTGGTATAAAATTCTTGTTTTCTATGTTTATCAAACAGATTTTCAAGCAATCTTAAGCCAGTTCTTTTGTTGATTGATCCATTCCAAGTCTTCATATATCTCTTAATTGTGACTAACTGCACATTTCTCATCATTAAGTGATCAACTGTTTTCTTGTTCAGTCTAAAGTGATAATATAATTTCAGAGCATTGAAAATCTTGGCTGTCGATTTCTAGTACTTATCACCTCTAATAATCTTATATAGTGAGTTTTTTTGCTTAAACTCTGGTAGCATATACTACCAAATCTTCACAGACTTAATAAGCAAGTTGTGCTTTCTGTATCTTAATGCTGTTTTTAACTAATTTTTACTATGAGTTTTCATAAGTATATTTTAAAGGAACCCACATAGAGCCTTCTTTATAAGTTTTCTCCTTTTTTAGTCTAATAGATTCTTAAGATTATAAGAATAAGAAGTCGCTTTTGAATAGATAGTTACTATTTAGTTAAGATACTTTGTGAGTAGCTTTCTCCTCAAAAAATTATCTTGATTTTCCTTGAGTTCTCTTTTCTTAAAGTGGTAAAGAAATAATTTTCTCCATTTTAAAAATGGTTGTTCAAGTTTTCTGTTATGATTTACCTCGTCTGCTGCTAGTTTTTGATTATTTCTAAATTGCTAGCGTTTGGTAAAAATTTTTAGGGCAAGAAACACCTTTCTAAGCTTTTTGCCTTGTCTATGTTACGTTAATCTTATCAATATTTATCTTTAAAGCTTATTTTGTTTGTGATTTGCTAATAATGCCCTAAATATTTTCTATAATAATTAAATTAAAGAAAGTTAAAAGCTTACCAAAGTTTTTTCATTTGATTTGATCTTGATCATTCTACTAAGTAAGAATCTATATTTACCGTTCTTTTGACTCTTCATTCTAAGATGTCTAACAATCTAGTACTTTATTTTGGCCTTTCTTTTTTTCTTCATTTAAGAGACTTGGCAGTATTCTTTTTTCCAAGCACTAAATACATTACTTAAATAGTATGCTTTAAGATTTCTCTGAGCTTATTTACCAATTTTCTGATAATATTCAACTTTACTTTTTCTCATAAAGTCACAGTATTAAACCAAAGTCTAATCTTAAGGCTCATCTAAAAGCTTACTAAATGAATGATTTAAGAGAATTTAGGAGAAATAGTAAAAACTCAGAGATCTTGGTACTCTGACTAAACGTTTTTATCTTCTATTATCACCTATAGCATTAAAGTATTTTCTCAATCTAAGTCTATCTTTCATGGTAATAATATTTTACTCCTTCTCAGAAATAATGTAATTAGAGGCTAGCAGGAACTAGAATAAATTGAACTTAATCTTTTTCTGATAAAAAACATCAATATAGTACTGCTGACGATTTTCCCCTTGGCTTACTTAGGTGTAACTTCTCATTAAATCATATGACTGTTTAATTAAGACTAGCCTGTAATAATTCTTGGCATATTCATTTAATCTCAAATATTAGAGTCTTCCAAGCATGAATTTCTTGAACTACATTAGCGCAACTTTTTATAAATTAAATTCACGGACAGCCTCAGCTATTTATCTCATTTCTCTAAATTTAGATACTTCAATCTTATTTGAGATAAAGCCGTTCAGACCTTGCCTCTTGAGTCTTTTTTAATTGTGGTCTTTTGAGATAAAGAGACTGCGTCTTAATTCACGTCTATGCTTTACAAAATATTTCAAAGCTATCATAGTCTTTCTCTGATATCTCTGCCTAAAAATGTGCTTTGATGTTTTTTACTATACATTATCCATTTATAACTTGACAACGATGCTTTTTAGTTGTTTGAAAATTTACTTCTTCCTCAGTTTATCTAACCTTTGTTTTGCTAGTTTAAGTAATTAATTTTCCTGTATGCTTTATCTCATATTCTCTCGCCAAATCTTTAGATATTTTATTCCTAACTTGAAACTAATTACAGCTTTAGCACGTCTACTATCAGCTGCATGACCATAATGCTACTTAGCTTGACGATGGATTGCTTTGAATAACTTTTTCTTCATATTTTTAGTGTACCTTTACTGAGCTATTTGTTCCATCGTAGTTTAATTATCCTTCTCTAGTCTATAGTTGTAAAAAGCTCTCCATCCATTTAACAACAGCTTTCTTGTGTAGTAGGCAAAAGCTATAGCTCTATCTGAATCAATAGCTTTCTCCTTTGAATAGTAGCTTACGCTCTAAGATCTCTTATTGCTACTATTGCCTGGTGATTACTTCAACAAACCTGAAAAGTTTAATTTTGGAAGTTGAAGCTTCGTATCTCTGTTGAATGGATTCTTTGTGGGTGAGCCATTTTGCGACAGAAAATCTAAGTCCTTGTTAATGAAATTGGGAGTGACCGATCGATCAAGGATGTTGCTTAAATCATTATGATGCATACTTTTCTTTTGACTTGATCTTTAAGGAATATTACTACCTGTATTGTGAGCGCTAGATTTTTCCAAGATTGATACTATGGTGAATTGAATGTTAAAATATATTACATTTATGACATCTATTTTGGAATGATTCGCTCTTTTACATTTCAAGTACATTATCAAGTGATATTTTAGGCAGAGTGAGCTTTTATTTCATTTTATAGCTGACTATATTTTCTTTCTCAGCCCTAAAAATAATTTAAACTCACTTTATTCTTACTGATTGAAAAATATGTTTCTATCATCTTCTCCAAATGAACCTTGGAAATCAAATTATTTACCATTAGAGGATACATTTGTATCGTATTTCAAAATTTTGCTGTCATTCTTCTCAGTTTCTAAATTAAAGGTGAATAATTCAAATTAAGTTTACTTTGTAAATTCTGAATCTCCATTGATAAATCCTAAATACTGCTCTGCTGTTTTTCTCTTTCCTATCTAAGTATTAGTCTGTAAACATGGTTAGCTATATCAGTTCTTGGCTTCTTCTCAGCTACGACTACATCAAATCCATTAAGTAGTTCCATTAAGGTTAAATCCTCAATTGATCTTTTCTTTGCCAGTGATAAAGCTTTAATCCTAATGACATTGTGCAAGTCTTCTATTATTTTCTAGTTCGGATCTTATCTATTAGATTGCTGGTGAATCTGCTAAATTATCTAGAGATCTTTATTCATAGAGTGATTTTAAGAGAAATCTAAAAAGGAAAGTTTTTAGGTTGCTCCTGGAATCCCTGCTGCCGCAGAATTGTTCAATTAACTTTGCATTTTTCAAATTAATTAAAGAGAGGTAATATTTGAATTTTATTTATTTCAAAATTTTACTCTCCTATTACTGACTCTGGGGTTTTGGGGTTTTGGGGTTTTGGGG